ATAGAAGGCCAAACGATGCCTACTTAGACTGATCACGTAGCTTAACCTCCTAGTGGATGTTGAACCTATTTAAAACCGCACAATGTGCGTACAAATATTGAATCCCAAAGGGGTTTTACTTGGCGCCTAATCTAGACTCTTTGTGGTATATTATCGTATTATGTAAACGAACAACGTAGTTCCTGTAATGGCACACGTCATGACAAGCAAAGATATATTTATTATTATATATTAGATGTTTCATAAGAGCTACATGATATTGTATTACGATGTGGAAAAGATTTAATCAGATGTTGCTAAAATAGTGAGACTCTTAAGTTCGAAGTTGCTTTAGACGTTCCTAAATGTCAAAAGAAGTTATTCCTACAAGAACTTCATTTTCGATCGATTATTCTCATTATAACTTAATGATATATATGTAGCTACGATTCCAACATATATACAGTCCACAGAAACTAGACGGATCCATGTAAATTTTCATGAAGGCAACTGAAATACTGAGAGCCTAGTTTGCATAGAAACAGACAGGCAGACATGACTATATCTGTCTATCTCTTTCTTACTGTTGTTACTGATCAGGATTATATATACTTTTTGGCCTCGAAGATGTCTCCCATTGCATGACCAAATCATAATACTCTCGATAAGAATGTTAAAAGAAGGCAACAAAACTGAAAGCCAACTATATCGACTTGCTGTTGATATTGATCACGAATATATATACATATGTACCTGTTGGGTTCATATATGTATGTCTTCCATTGCATGACCAAGTTATAATACCCTCGGCGAAGAGTGTCAAAAGAAGGCAACAAAACTAAAAGTCAACGGAGGAGAGCACACGATGATTTTAAAAAATAAAACCAGTTAGTTGGAGACGTTGCGCCGACTGCGGCAGCAGCGGGCGGGGCACTTTAAGCCACACACGCGCCACCGGAGCAATTTTCAGCGCGTGAGCCGCCAGCAGCGCAGTCGGCGTCAGAGTTGGCAGCGGCGTCGGCGGCGTCAGCGGCGGCGCGTTTGTCATAGATTGTCATTGTCCACGCGACTGCAGCAGCTGAATTCACACGGCTCGAAATGTGGTTTTATTTTCCGATGAATTCGCGGCGACATTCCCAGCGAGTTACATATGTATATATAAGTATCTAGAAGTATATAGATATAGATACAGTTGTACTTGTCTAGATGGGTCTAGAAGGCAAATATACTATTAGACATTATGCAAATAATTGATGTGGGGAAGCGAGTGACTAAACTAACGTTTGTTTATTTTCAGCTTGAGATAAGTAACTGTTTTTACAAATAATTATATTGTCGAGTCGAGTACTTCAGAAATTTTTTTTCGGGTAATATCAGTATAATATTTTATAACTTATTTTTGTGTTTTTATCTTAACAAGGTTTTTTTTTTTTAATTTGGGGAAGAACATTGCGAGTTAGATGAATCGCCTAAGTAGCCAGTCTTTAAAAAGTTTAACGAGGATCCGGGTTCAAATTTCAGGGCTGTTAGCACAAGGTCAGGCTGTAAAAGTTGTATGAATAAATATATCTTATGGCATATTTTAATTAAAAATAATATTTAAGTTAAGTCAAAGTTATGATGTGCAATAAGTTTAGGGAGTATCTCGATAGGCTAGAAGTTGGCTGCGTTACTTTAGAAGATAGATTGGATTTATAGAAAAACCTCTTGCTTACTACTTTCAACCTTTATATACTCCATAGCCAGTGTCAACTGTATTTGGAGTCGATATCGCACAACTGTCAACGTCGCCTGCCAATTTGACGCTAACGTTCTGTCAATTAGTGCAGCATGTGGATTGTGTGGGTGTCCGATTGATGTTGGCCACAAAGCTGCCGCCAAGCGAGCGACGGAATGACAAACCGACGGACAGTCCGTTCATCCGTCCGCTTGTCTGGCAGCAGGTGGCCGCGACATTGTTTGCACACGCTCAGGTTTTCCCCTGTTTAAGCGGGCAGCACTCTGATAAAACGGCTCATAAATCAAACTAAATACAATATACATCTATCTGTAAATATGTTTCGATACGTGTGTGTTCCATTTTATTTGCCCATTGAAGCTGATGAGCTTTCGGGCTGATTGCCAAGCCCACTAAAACTGAGGCGTAGCTCAAGATGATTTCTTAATGTCGATTTCTAAGTAGCAAAAATACGCAAAAAAAAAAAAAAAGAAATAATGAAAAAGACGCAAATCGTGGCACGTTTTGGTCATTACGATTCATTACCCATTGGCCAAGTCGTTGGCCAGCTTGTTGTTGTTCCTAGTTATTGTTGGCAGCACGTTCTTGCGCAAACGAGTTGCCCAAAAAACGTAAACAAAAGCAAATTTTTTTAAAATATCAACTGCTCAATTTTATGTCCATCTCCTTTGCTTTGTGTCCACTTGCATAATCCAAAAATGACTCTTGATGATACCTTCTTATTGTATTGTTATTGTTTTTGCTTAACATAAACAAATTATTGAAATCGTCATGAAAATGATATACGATACCATCTTTCAGTTGGGGATAACCGTATTATGACGAATTTACCATGTCCTGGAGCCTGGGCGGCTTTTAAGGCTCGATTAATTTGGCAAAACTTAAAAACAATAAAATGTTTTGAAAATTTTATATTTCAAATTGCGTTTAAGAGAGAAATATATGTATAAAATACCCAATAAAAATCTAAAATGTATCTAAATGCAGCTTGATAAAATTGGAATCAAGGTGACATACTAGATGGATTAAACAGCTTGTTAAATTCCTGGAATCTAAATGATGGACATATCTTAAAATTAAACAAGTGTTTAATAGACTCTGATGAATCAGTTCAAATTTCTATGACATACAAAAGGGTTAAGCTTATATTCAAGGAATAAATCAAGGAATTTATACATTGGTTCAATAGTTTCTAAAAACACAATTCTTATTGCTCAATCATTGCCAAGCTTATTCAATTTTTATTTCAAATGCTTCCAACAATTTCTGATTAAACAGCTCCAATTTCCATTAAGAAGACTAGCTTAATTTATCAAAAATTATAATTTTTATCAACTAGCATAAATGTTATGAGATTTGTATAGTTACGAATCCAAATTTTACTACCACCCCTGACATGTTCAGTCAACACTATATCCATATATATATATATCATCTGTTAAGACAAACTATATCCATACACTAGCCTGCATTTCGAACATGGAATGTTCATCCTTCGAGGACTTTAAGTGATTATGATTTTTTAATTTAAAAAAAAAGAAAACATATTTTGATGGCCTATCTCAGGGCTTATTGCGCTCTGGCCCAAATAGTTGTTGGTCGTTTCGATATCGCCCTGCGTAGGGTGCAACTAGAAGTTATTCGGATTGGGATCAATAATTACTTCACACACAAAGCTCGGGGAAATTGCAAACTGTCAATTTATTCGCATTGGAATTCAAAGTCAATGCGACGCTTACATAATTCGCACACACGCGTGCACACAACAGTACACATATGTGTATATAATTACGTAAATGAAGGCGTGAAAGACGATAAACCGCAATGAAAATGAAAACCGAGCAGGAAAAAGAAATTTCACAACAAGCAAACAAAAAGAATGCACAACTGACACGCGCTAAGAATTGATTCAAAATTAAACCAAATATTTATATATGGAAAAAAGTGGAAATAATTTTAAAGATTGTCCAATTGAATTGTGTGGGTTTAAGTGAAAACAATAATTGTATATTCGGGTTGTACACAAACTACATAATATGTACATACATATGTGATGAAAAGGCAGAGCAAAAGTCAGCAGCGAGGGGAAATACAACAAAAGCTCGCGAGCGGCAAACAGCGAACGGGGCGGGACGACGCGACGTGACGGAGGCGGCAATGAAGTCGTTCAAAGATTGCGCGGCACGTGGCGCGGTCGGCGTCAGCGCCAAAATGAGGGGCCCCATAGTAAACAGCAGCAACAACAACACAACAACAACAATAATAACAACAAACACAACAAAGAAACTCATTTGCAAAACAAGACGACGTGCAGTTGATCGCGAAAGCGCAATGCCGATCGATCGATGAATTTGTGGCTCGATGGCTTGTGCTTGCGGATTCCGGCTAACCCCGGGGGTTAATGGAGCATAATGGCGTGCTTAATTAGAATGTACGAAAGGCCACAAGGCGAGCGCGCTATTCAAAATTATCAGCGGCCAGTGCGAATGCCCATAAAATCCCGTATACCAAGAAATTTGATGGTAAAAGTAAGAGTGTATAGCATATGAACATGTGATAACACTGGGCAACAAAACTAAGCAACTATTTGCAGATCGCAAGCCACTTTTGTCTTGTGTCTGGAATGTTGTATATTATCAACAGCCCAAGCCTAAGCAATCTCGATATAAGACGGGGTTTAGGGAAATTCCACACGTAAGTGTGGAAAAATCGCAAAAAACGTTTGTATACAAATTTTTTGTTAACCATCCGATCGGCCTCAAACTCATTTTCAAAGATCTTTGTTCAAATTCATTTGAGGGGTGTTTCACACTCTTCGCAAAACCCATTGAAAGATTTGGTGGGTGACGTTTCGCTCTCAAATTCATATTCAAGCATCTATATGAAAATTCATTTATGACGTGTTTCACATTTTTCGCAAAATCAAAGCTTCATCGATTCAATGATTTTTTGGGCGAAGTTATAAGTTTTTTGCATCAAACTTATTTTTAAAGCTTTACAGAATAGCTTAATGAACACATTTTTCAGCTATTTGGGAAATTTCATCCGCAACAGTGGTAAATTGGTGGAAAACGGTTGTATAAAAATTTTTTTTTTACCATCCGATCGGTTTCAAGCTCATTTTCAAAGATCATTGAGAGAATTTATGTTAGACGTGCCGCGGGCAAGGCTGAGGTATACCCGCTGGTGTATTATATTTTTATATATGATTTTAGATTTTTATATTCTCTTCTATTAATTAATTTTTCTATTATATCTGTTTTTCTTTATATCTGCTTTTCAGTTAATGGACAAAGGAAGTGTGTCAAGGTGTGCTTTTATATTTTTTTTTAAATTTTTTTCTGTGCTTTACTGTGTTTTTGGGATAAAAAGTTAATTTGATTTTTTTTGTGATTTTTTTTCTGTGTTTAATTGTGTTGCCTCTTTTGGGATGAAATGTTGATTTTTTTTTTAAGAAAGAAAAAGTATGACGGAAAAATGGTTTAAATTCATAATTTTATATATTTTTTAAATTTGTTTTCTGTGAGCCATAAATATGTTAAAGTGTGTTTCCTGTTTTGTGATAAATGTTTTAAGTTTTTTGACAAAAAGAAGCTGTTGACAATTAAATACAAGAAGGTAGGTACATAAATTTATTCATTAATTAAATTCGAAAACTATATAAATCAAGTATAAAATCGAAAATTGGTGCTGAATTTAAATTGTGTGGTTGTTGTTTTTCGACAAATTCTGACAAAACTTTGACTTTGACTCTGACTGCTCTAGTGGGGAGTTCCCGAGTGGGGGTACCCTGAACCTTCTTCTAACAACACCCAAGGGAGCTCGCGCTAGTGGGGAGGGGCGGCAGCTTTAAAATGAAACAGCCCTGACCTGTATTCAATATTCTAAAAGCTACATGTTAAATTTGGCGACTCTAGATCTTAAAATGTAAGAGGTTTTCCCAAAAACCGGAATTCGTTATCAATTTTTATCGATTGATTGGCAACGGGGCCCGTTATCGATAATCTGAAACAACTCTCACTGCGCGGGCACTGGAATCGACGGATTCATACAGACGGACAGACAGGCAGATGGACATGGCTAGATTGACTAGACTATTGATGTTGATCAAGAATATATATATACTTTATGGAGTCGGAGATGTTTCTTCTGCCTGTTGCATACATTTGCACAAAAATATTATACCTTTTGTACCCATTTTGAATGGGTTCAGAGTAAATAATGATCTTATTTATTAATTTTGCTGCATAATGTTTGAAAGCAAGTTTTGTACCCGAATCTGAGTTTATGGTTTTAGAAAACAAGCTACAGGATTCGAGCCCTAACGCCTGGTTCCAACTGTAAATCGAAGCAATGAATATTTTTGTTATAGTCTCCATCTTTGCACTAGGGGTACCTAATAGTTAAAAATTCTCATCAAAGCTACTCGCAGTTTTTGTATACACAACACAAAATAAACTGCTTTTTTTTATAGTTTATTATTCGCTGGAATTCGTTTTCTGGTATAAATCGGTCTTTCAAATCTTATCGGGTCTCTTACACATGTATTTATGAATTATTTTGGGTACCTTTGTACTTGAATGCCAATTGCTTTAACAGATTACTTTCATTTCCTATGCCGATGCATATCTTAATAGTAAACTATATATTGTTTGTTTTTTAACACTATAGACTTGTGCCTAACAACAGTTCATTGACAAACATTCTATGTTATTAACAATTAATGGAAGTAAATGGGAACGAGAAGTATTTCATTTTCTATAGTTCATTCTTCAAATTTCCAATAATGTATTTTTATATGAAAAACTTTGTATGCATGTCAGTTCGGGTCAAGTTCTTTTTAGTTAATTTATTTTATTTAATTATGTCATGAATTCGCATTATTTGTTTGTTGACCAGTGTAAGTATGTCTTTGATTCTCCTCGGTCTGTACGCACTGGGCGCCTGCTCCCGCATTGGGTGGGCCAACCAAAGAGCACATCATATAGGCATTTGTTGGGTCTGTGCACCGAGCATGGACCCAGTCCCGTGCCCGTGTCCGTGTCCGTGTCCGCGATCAGCCGGTGGCTTTAGTCTAAAGTACCGAGCACTGGGGCTTTGCTGACGCACGAGATGATTATCAAACGGGGCGACAGCAGCGACAGAGGCGTGGCAACAATCAGCGGCCAACACGAGGAGCCGTAGTGGCAATTGAGCATGTTGCTCGTGCTGCGAGCTCGTGCCGATTGCGACAGTCAGGTCGTCATTCCGTCAGATTCGTTATAGTAATCATCATTAGCAGCTTTAGCTGTGTGTGTGTGTGTGTGTGCATATGCCTGGCCAGACGCGGCTTATTTTAGCCAAAGGTCAAGCGCAGCGTCGATAGAAACTCATCAAAATCCAAAAATACAACACACATTCATGGCACACCATAAATCAAAGCGTCTGCGCATTTTTTGATGTCTTTTTTTTGTCTTTTTCTTTTTTGTTGCTGCTGTTTTTTATGAGTCGCCGTCGGTACCCCCAAATGGCTGAAACGGAACTGGGGCTGCATTCAGCCAGTGGATATCGGATATTTTCACAACTGAAAAAGCATTTCCGTTTAGCAGGAACAGCGTTTCGCATGAATCTATTGTTGCACTGGTCTGATCTGTTCGCTAACTGGTTCCTGACGGCAGCTGTGTTTATCTGACTAAGCGCCCGTCAGCCCAGTCAGCTTGTATTTGATTTGCAAGTGTATCCCAAGCACCCCAGTCGTATTCTCGGAAAAATATAATAATAAGTAATAAGTAACTTATCTCAGCTTGTGGCAATGGGCGCTCCGGAGCACTTGAGCTTTGTCGCCATAACTTCCTATCGTCTTGTCAATTGCCCGAATGCTGCCTGGCTGTAAGGGTCAACTTCCCTATTTACCCATACACACATTTAGCTGCTTATCGGTGCCAGTTTTTCACATGCGGAAGCATAGAGCTTGCACAGTGGCACAAGCTGCTGCAGTACGAGATCAAACTATTTTGAATATGTATATTGAAATTAATCAAAATGTATTTAATATTAGCTAACAAGTAAAGCTCAAAATGTTGCTTGCAAAATTTCATTTGTTGTTTTAACCATCTCGTATCACTGTACAGCACCTTACAAAAGCGGAACCTGCCCAGGCAAGGTTAGGGTCTGACATTTTGGCACTGTGCCAGTCTGAACCCCACAGCGTATACCATGTGTTCTATTAAGGTCAACGTGTCAGTTTGTTTGTGATAAGGTTTTAAGTGTGTTTGATTATTGGGTGCCATTAAATATGTGGGTACTACACGGATCTTTATGGGCGTTTGCGTTTGGTCAATGATCAGACCGAGTAGTTTGTTTACCTAGACGCCGCGTACAGATGCGATTAGATTAAGTCGCATTTTACTATCATGATTGATGGTTTATTTTTAGCTAATTTGGATTATTAATATTATTGTTGCGGATCGACTGGTGTGTGTGTGTTTCCTAATCAACACAATTGTGGGCCGTTTTTTTCAGTTTTGTGTATTTTATATGATCGCTTATTTTTAATTGGACTTTGGGCTTACCGGGGTTTTTGTCGTCCGACTGATTCTTTGGGGGGTATACTATTTGGCTTATTGATAGGCTATTTACGATAACGGTTACTACGTTCCCTCACTGTGGCGCCTTTTTTACTGCGTTTTAATGAAGGTCTCGGTAAGGTCTTTGTGGGTTGTTTGTTTTTTGTTTACAGCAGCGAAAATACTAGAAAATGTCAATGGAAATGCTGATGATAGAATATTTTTGAAAAAGATTTGATTATATTTATGTATTACTTGTAGTATCTACACGCAATCAGACTGCTATACAAGTTTCAAATCCTTGGCTAAAATAAAAAAAGACTGTTCCTAAGGTCCTAGCAGCCTGTGCTATTAAAAAATGTATGTATCTGATTGGTTCAGGGTATAGAAATAATAATAATAATACCAATAAATAACCAGAATAATGAAAATATTTTTTATAAAAATAAAATTATGAATATGGATAATAACACATCATTAGTGTTATATAAAATTATAATTTGTATTTATTTCCCATAAATCAACTAACGCAAATAAGTTGTTCTTATATTTAAAGATCTTCTAAGACATTTTTCGCTGACACTTTCTTAATATGTGTGTGCGTGTGTGTATCTTGAGTTCATTTGCATTTTCTCACTTGACAGCTCTTTAGAGTTGGGTATTAAGCCAACAGTTAATGCCATTATCTATCGCATTCATAGCCGAGCCCACTCGACTATAGCGCAATGTCAATAACACTTGCGAAAATTGACCAAGTGCGCACGATAAGCACGAGCGCCACAACAAAAAAATAAAAAATAAATAAAAAAATTAAGTAAAAAAAAACAAACAAAAAATGCAAGTAGCAAACTCTGAATGTGAATGCGTGACCGGCTACCTTCAGCTACGGCTACTGCTGCTGCTGCTTCTTCTTCTTCAACTGAAAGTCTCCCCGCCTCCCCCGCACATTTCAAAAGTGCTTCTCTAATCATGAGATTCAAAACCCGTGCTCGTGATTATATGGCGATAGCAGAACGTAACGCTTATCAACAGCAAAGGTGGGGTATTGATAAGGCATGGCAGTGTAGGGGGAGGGGGGCTAGTGAGAGGGGGGGACGTGCGGTATACCTGCACAGTGGTGTTTTATCTAGCTGGGGCATGACACTTTGCGTGCGCCATGACGAATGCGCTGTGGCGGCAACAGTGCCAGCTATTTATACACACACACACACGCGCACGAAGCAATGAACTGTGCGTTGTTGAAAAATTTTCCATGAATTTGTTGTACTTTTTCGCCATAGTTGTTGTTGTTTGCAAGATGTACAGTGTACACTGCACAACAGCGTTGTCGACGGTTGATTGTTGTCGCCGTTGCCGTTGCCGTTTGCTTTTATCAATAATTATTTTGTTGTGCTCGCTGCGAGTCGAGTGTTTTTTTCTTATCAGCACCTACTACACACACAAACACACAAACACACACACACACATACGCTGGGTGGGTGCAGTGGGCGGGCGGCTGGCAGTCGGGCCGGTCGTGTGACACAGACACAATCACGTAGGCCGCCCGGCACGATCGTACGGACTGTGTGTGGGGGCAAAGCTTGCGCCGAGCTCGTCTATAATTAGCTTAAGTCGCGAGCACATAAAAGCGTCAACAACAACCAAAACCATAACAACAAAAACCATAATAACAACAGCAACAATATCACTTACAGCGAGTGTAATAATTACAGCTACAACAACAAAACAATCAAGCAAGGCTGTCGATCGGCTGTCGTCTGTTGCCAACTTAATGTTAACCATACCCTACCTGACTGTTCGATATACCCTACACCCCGCTCCCCCCTGTTGCTGCTCCTGCTGCTGTTGCCTCAAGTCGTCATAAACTAAC